ATTCCAGCTCAGCAACTATGTGACCCCTAAGGCCTTCTTTGTAGCCCATTCAAAGGAAGTAAATAACGATGACTAGATCGTCCTTAGGGGTTTCATGAGTCAGCGGCTAAAGCCTATTAATTCTTCTACAAAAAGAGTTTTAGACATTCTGGGTCTTCGAAAGGAAAAGGAGGGAGGCCATCTCTTGGATTTTATCAGCCACTATTCTTCTACAATAGTGTTTACCCAATATTTACCTTGCAAAATCAGAAAAACACTACTGTCACCTGCTCACTGAAGGAGCTGAATTTGGAGGCATTCCAGCTCTTTTTCAACCTGGATTGAAAATTCATATCAGGTTTCAGATTGTCAAGCCTTCCCAGGTCCAGAGCTGCTTGCTGTGCAAAGGTCAGTTTTACAGTTTGATGCCGTTTTATCCCCACCTGTACTTCACTCCTACATCCTTCAGTGAAAACTGCATTGCTTTGAAGTTGAAGGTTGCATGCATGCAGGCAGAGCAGCTTTACTCCCACCCTGAGTTGGAAAAGATAATGGGCCCTGCAGAGCAGGTGTCCAATTGACCAAGGTCATCAAACAATGACTTGGTGTAAATATCCAAATTGCAGTAGTGGACAAACTCAGCACATGACAGGTGCAGGTGATGGGAGTCCTTTTGTCTAGCAGTCACAGTGGTCTGAGGACATAGAACAAACCAGAGGAAGAAGCATGTGCCTGCCTGAGAAGGTTATGTCGTCACTGTAACAACCAGTGAGTTGGCATTACTTGGTGCAAATCTCTGCACTGATGTGTTTAGATGATTTTGTTTCTCAGGAGCTATTCATTCAGGGGGAAAACGGAAAGTGTAAAGGTGAAGTCCGTTTTCTCTTCACATTTTCAAAGATGAATACAATACATGTGAAGGACAAGCAGGCAATCTCTTATTAGGAGCAGTCAATCCAAAGAAACTAGAAAGTCCTTCAGAGTTGTGAATAGATCACAACTTCAACAACAACGAAACCCCACACAAGTAAAAAAAAAAAAAATCAGAAGACTCTGCTCCTGGAAAAGAAAGGAATTGTAACCAGTACAATTCATGTAACCAGTAACATGAACAGTAAAGTTCATGTTCCCAGCACTGTACTGAAGTTTCAATTTGAGACAATGTCTGCAAGTCAAAGTCAAAGACATCTACTATGTTCAAGTTGTGCATGATTAAAGTCACAAAAAATTGGTTTAAGTTACTAGGATTTTTAAAAATACAGTTGATAAGATGAAAGAGATTTAGAAAAGCCCTTGAATTATGTAGGTTTAGGGTGCATATATTAAAATTGTTTATAGCATTTCTCCCCCTGGTTTCATAGTTGAAAAGGCTAATGTAATGTTAAATGCTTAGCTCAATGTTAAATCATTAGAAAGTGAATGAGTATAAACTTAAGTTGCTTTATATTTTCAATGAAGTGAAGAGGTCCGAAACATTTCTGTAAAGGAACATATTGAGAGAGAAAACAACCTTTAAAAGACTTAGAATGTACAGATGAATATTGGTGTAGTTTTACCCCCACTTCACAAGTGTGCAGGCTGAAATTAAATAACTTATTCAATATCATACCTTTAGAGTGAAAGAGCCCAAATTCAAAGACATGTCTTTTGACTGCTAACTCAGTCCTCTTGGTACTTGACTACAGTGCCTCCAGCACCCTCAGCATCAATAAAGGCCTCCAGCCCAACCGCATGGCTCAGTGGTCCACCTAAGAACCAGGAGATCCTGGTCAAGGCACATGCCCAGGTTGCGGGCTCAATCCCCAGTACAGGGTGTGCAGGAGGCAGCCAATCAATGATTCTCTCTCATCATTGATGTTTCTCTCTCTCTCCTCCTCTCCCTTCCGTTAGGAAATCAATAAAAAATATTTTTAATAAATGGCCTCCAGAAATTTCTGAGTCCAATGGGACCTGTTAACTTCTGCTCCCTCCAGGGTCACTGCAGCAATAGTTGTGTGGGAATGCTTGCTCTGTGTCTCGAGTATGAACTATATAGCCTTCTTCTCTTTCTCTAAAGGAATATATTGGCTAGCAAATATATTTTTGCATACCTACTTTCATGCCAGACATTGTTCTCGTTGCTGGGATACAGAGTGACTTAGTCCCTGCCCTCAAGGAATTTTCATACTAGTGGTGGGGGGAGACAATTAACAAGCACCAAATAACTAAATAAATTGATCCTATCAGATTCTGATAAGTGTTAGGAAGAAAACTCAATGGGGCAGGGGCAACATAGTTAAAAGTAACTAGCACTGGCAACTTAAGGTAGGACTGAGGCAGGCTGGGTGCTCAGCTAGGCTGGTTGGTGGCTGGATCAAGCAGAAAGACCAAAGAAGCAGCCATAACCATACCCAAAATAGTAGCTCGAATATCAGAAATAGCAACTGATGAGATAACATTTCCAATATAGGCTACTGCTGTGGACCGGGTTATCCATCCAGTATTTTGAGTTTGGGCATATTGAAGAAAGGAGACAGCAGAAGAAAATGGACACGCAGAAGAAAGTGAGACAGCTCCCAGGTGGACTGTAAAGGTAGGTTTCCCTAGGACAGATAGAATAATGATGGTGCTGATGTGTAGTATTACCTCTTACACCTGAAATAATTCCACAATATTTTTTAAAAGGGGAGGGATAATGGTTGATACATCCAACTCAAGCAATATTTTACATGAATTAACTCATGTGCAAGGATTACCTCACAGAGACCATTGTCCATGTTTTACAAACAAGCAAACTGAGATACAGTAACTTTCTTGTGGAAGACTAAATAATGCCCCCAAGGACGTCTGTGTCCTAATCCTCAGAACCTGTGAATATGTTATCTCACATAGTAAAAGGGGCTTTGCAGATGTGATTAATTTTTTTTGAAATAGAGAGATTATTCTAGATTATAAATCTATAATAATAAAAGCATAATATGCTAATTAGACTGGACAGCCAAACAACCTTCCAGACTTCCTCCCGGACATCCTTCTGGATGACCTTCCAGATGAAGCTGGGACTGTGAGGGCCGAGCCCCTTGCATGAATTTCATGCATTGGGCCTCTAGTGTAATTATAAAGATCTTTAAAAACAGTCAGGAAGAAGATAGAAGCAGAGTTGGAGTGATGTGGCCAGGAGCCAAGGAACGCAGGCAGTTTCTAGAAGTTGAAAAAGGCAAGGAAATAGATTCTTCCCTAGGGTTTTGAGAAGAAATGCCACCTTTGTTTTAGTCTAGTGAAACTGATTTCAGCATTCTGACCTCCAAAACTATAACATAATAAATTTGTGTTGCTTAAGCCACTAAATTTGTGGCAATTTGTTACAGCAGCAACAGGAAACTAATATATTGCTCAAGGCCAGGGAGCTACAAAGTGCCAGGGCCAGAATTAAAATTGAGGCAATCTGGTGCCAGTGCCAGAGATTTAGCTACTGTGTCACAGGGCCTCTCACAGGTAGAATAAAATTGCAGGTTAAATGCAAAATAAGTGTCTCCTAGATTTTCCTCTTATGCTCAGAATTCCAGGTTTCAGAGAAACTAAAAAAGAGAAAGAGGATCCTATGCCAGTCCCCTTTGCTGCTTCATGTCTTCAGTGCTGGACCCAAGAGATCACTAAATAAACCTCCTATTTTAGAGATGAGGAATTGGAGGACTAATGGGTTGTGATTTTGAAGTTACCCAACTGGTTGGTGAAACAATCAACTAGTTACACAGGTGGTGATGAGGCAGGTGGTGATGTGGAGAAACCAACTGATTTCAGTGCCTGATAGAATTCGAGGAAGGAGGCAAGTGAGGACTGAAGAATCCAGGCTTCCTGAAACCTGTGTTTCTCATTATTCGCTTAGAAAGGGTGGGAGAAGAAATGTGAATTACACACCTGCCCAATATATAGATTTCAGAGAGGAAGGGAGAATTGAGAGAAACATCCATGATGAGAGAGAATCATTGATCGGCTGCCTCCTGCACCCTCCATACAGGGGATGGAGCCTGCAACCTGGGCATGTGCCCTTGACCAGGATTGAACCCGGGACCCTTCAGTCCACAGGCCAGTGCTCTATGCACTGAGCCAAACCAGCCAGGAATCACACCTGCCCAATATAATATCTCTAGAAGAATTCAAAGCTCTCACTTTAGCAAGCTTTTTAATCCCTTGTAATTATTATATTTCCAAATATTTATCCTCTTTGACATCCTGATTGCTGCCCTCAGCTCTCTACCACAGCATCTAAGACACAGTGGGTGCTCATAAATATGAATGAAAATGCTTATGATAGCATCCTTAGGCCAGTGTTTTTCCCAAATTTAAGGTGCATGCAACACCCCTGGGGACCTCGTTAAAATGCAGATTCAGAGTCAGAAGCTCTGGTTGGGGCCTGTGATGAGCATTTCTACCAAGTTCCCATATGATACTGTTTTTCAAAGTCCCTGAAAAGAAGACCTCCCTATCCATATACAAAATGTAAGTCATATTAAGTTTGATCATTCAATAAAAGTCTGCAAAGATGGAATAGAAACAACACTTTCCCCTTTTAGGCACACCCCCCCCCCCCCGCGCGCCAATAAAGGGAACAAATTAAATGCCAGGAATCAATGGAAAGAGTTGGAACAGTGCCCCAAATGCCTGTTCCCTGTACTCTGCTCGGCTCGTCCCGGGGCAGGGAAGTGTGTAAGGAAAGGAAAATGGGAAATGTCCAGTTCTTAGGCCGCCGTTCCTCTTCCATTTCCAGCCTTGAAGGAGCTTCTGCCCCCTTTTGAACCGCCCAAGTCACTGACAAACACACTGGAGTGCAGCGCCTTGCCCCGCTCCACGCCCTCATCTGGCGGAGGCGGCTGAAGGCTGATGCGCTTGCGTGTGCGCTCTGGCTCAGTATAAATAGATCCCAGGCGGCCGCCACTG